TAGTGAGGTGTTTAAAATGGAATTTCCAAACAATATACTCTTTATACCAAAAAAAAAAACCCTACCTCCAATATGATCCTACATGGTTGTTCCTTACTTGGTAGATCTTGATGTAGACATTGGGATTAGTGGGGAATATAGACTATCATTATTCGCCAGTAATATAAGACTAAGACTAGTGATATTCGTACCAAGGTCACGTCAAAGGAAAAGATAAAGTTCTAAGGCGAAGTTCTGCCCAAATTCTGAGGCATCCATATTTGTCAAGTGAGTGCATAGTTACTTTCATCTTATATATATATATATATATATATATATATATATATATATATGTATGCATATGTATATATATATATATATATATATATATATATATATGAAGTATTTGGACAATTAAATGCTATACGTGCATATGTGCAAACATGTTTTGTGTTTTAGATGAAATAATATAAGATGATTTTTGTACGATTTACTATGTATCTAATTTTTTTACTTATAATATATTGGGTAGTGATAGGTAATCAGCGAGGAGCCGAATAATGAGGTAGATGGATGATGGGAGATGAATATAAGAATAAAAGGCCCTAATTTACTAGTACTATTGTACTAAGCGATGCAGTAATCTAACAGAGTATAGATGATGACCATCGGATTATTTGATGACAATCTCATGGAGCACATGCATGTTTATAACCTAGAGGTGATAGACTCCATGCCCATTTGATGTACTCTACCCTACTAACACGTATAGGGAAGAAATCCATGTAATAGTATTGTCAACATGAATTTCAGAGAAATCTTTAAAACAATATTATCAGCAACGATGACTAGGATGACCTTTTGGATAAATCCTTAGGGACAAATAAAGAAAGAAAACAACGGTGGGTAATCGAGTTAATTATTTAATAATTAAACATATTAACTATATTATTGTGGGTTGAAAACCCTATGTACTTACTAGGTTTTCCTACTTGGCCCACTCAGCTTCTTTGTATCATAGGTAACGGTACAAAGGTATATCCATGATAAGAGATTCAATAAGATGTAGATTGCTAGTCTAAGATATTGTAAGGCTTGCTTATGCTTGTGTTTTGTATTAATTATGAGACCCCAAGTTTTTATAAATCAATGAAAAAACATTTATACGAAAATACTCTACCCTACTAACACGTATTGGGAAGAAATCCTTGTAACAGTATTGACAACATGAATTGCAGATAAATCTTTGAAACAATATTGTCATCAACTTATGACATTTCATGATTTTGGATATCATATTTACGTAAAAATAAAACAACCATTGTAGAAAATATAACTAGGGGATAAAACAAAATTGTTATTTTAGCGGTTATAAATCTTTTTACATAGTATTTGTCGATTCAATCAAAATAATGTTCAACAGTTAATTATATTTAATCAGCCAAATACTTATTAAAGACTGATCTTCCTCGTTTTAACAAATATATCCTGTTATGGATTCAATCGAGGTGTTCAAAATAAGCCCAATCATATACTTTTTCAAAATAGAAAAGGCCCAAAGGATGGAGCAAACACTTCACATATTCATCAATATGACCAACAAAAAACATTATGAAAGGACCAACGACCTTTTTGTCGAGTAAAGAAGTGGCAATACAAATGGCTCCTTTAAATTTTGGTGGCTATTGCTTATTACTGGATGTATTTTAAGTTTTTAACATATAATCATGTACATATATTTTTTTTCAAATACAAAAATTGACACGCATGGCATCTTAAAAGAGAAACCAAACCACTATGAACCAAGGTCAAGTACTCAAGTTAAATTGATATATAGTTATTAAGACAATTTGCGAGATAAGTGTGTTAAGTTGGTTTCTAAAGATGGAAAAGAGAAAAGAAAACGAGAGAAAAAGAGAATGTCTTGCATTTTAATTTTTCCTAAAAGATTACATCAAAAATGTATATATCATGTGCGTCGTCATGAACTACAACATGTGTCTCAGAATATGGTTGAGTCACTATCCTAACAAAAATCTCCAATTGCAAAACTAACTACTAAAAATAGTCTAACACCCCCTCCCTCTCTATACAAACGTTGGGAAGAATGTATAGCTTGAAAAGTAGTGGTAACAAACAATGATTAGGCAATCCTTTTGTGAGAATATTAGCAAGTTGAGAAGTAGTTAGTACATATATAATCTATGAACCAAGCAAGGACCATGTCTCACAGAAAGTGCACATCAATCCCAATGTGTTTGGTATGCATACTAACGAAAAACGTTACTGATTTCATGACAGAAAGATATATTTTCCGGATATCAGATCATAGGTAGGCGGACAATGACTTTGTGTTGCCATCTGTTGTATCAGTGGTCACCACATGCGGCTGCCCCCCACTAGATGAGGTCCGACCAAGAGACTAAGAGAGGGAAGCCTATTATGGGTCCTCGGGGTCTCATCTATACTCTCTAAGTCATTGTTTGTTGCTTCGTATTGCCTATGTCAATCAAGGTTTTGACCAATGCACTTTGTTGTCCAGTCCAATGCATTATAGGGGTTTCGTCTTTGTGGTTTTCACATTTCCGGTTTATTTTTACGATTACATTAAAAATAAAAGAATAACAAAAAGCAAATCCTATCTATTAGAAAAATATAGAATGAAATACGAAATAGTATATGGTATACGGAAGATTGGTCCCACCATATAAAAGACATACATCAAATTTGGCAAGAAAATGGCATGTGGAAGCATGTGCGTTCCGTTCCCACCACCAAAAAGGAAACACCGTTTAAATGTCACTCAATCCATATGCCCTCGTCGGCACTCAATTACCATTCATTTTTCAAGCTCTCTTTGTATCATATCATCATTCCATCCATGTAGACAACTCATTTCACTCAATTGATTAAAGACATTTTTAATTTTAATATGAATCATTCGGATAATATTAGTTTTGTTCCATCTACATATTTGCAACTTTATTTTAAAAAATGATTACGTAGAAATCTCCCCGATAAAATCCTTATATTTTATTGTTAGTTTACGATTTAATTTCAACTTTTATTTTTTGAATAAAAAAATCTCGATTACTTAGGGATGGAAATGAGGTGGGTATGAGGCCGGTTTCACCATCCATATCCCCATTCCTGAGTGTGTAACATCGTCCCCATTTCTAAAGGATACGCGGAATCGAATCCCTTCCCCTTTAGATTTTGGGCTTATCCCCGGTTCATCCCCGACCCATCCCCAACTCATCCCTAATCTACTAACATACTAGAATCAATCCACGCAAAAAATAATTTCAAGTTTAATAAAATATCAAAACCCTAGGTCATAATTAGATTGTGTTTAAATTATTCATAAAGTTTAACAAACATTAAAATGTCAATTATAAAGTTTAATAAGCATCAAAACGAAAACATGATTATACAAAAGAAATTTCAAATCATTGGTTCTCTTTGTTTCTTGTGTTTAATTTGAACAATTACTCAACAATCATCATTATATGCAACCGTCTGATCAAAAGCCTTTGGTTCGTCCTGATTTTTACCTTAAACACATAAAACTTATAGTTAGAAAAAAAAATATTTATAAACTTGTATAATATACCAATTTCTATATTTATTAGAATTTTACCTTGAATTTCCTTCCATAACCAACTTTTGCTACACATTAACGCCCCGACTGTTTCCGATTTGAGACGGTTGCGTTGTTTCGTCACTTTATTCATACTAGATGTTGATTCTGAAGCAACCGTAGAAATTGGAATGGCTAAAATATCTCTAGAAATCTTCTGTAATATAGGAAACTTAGAGCGATTGCACTTCCACCACATCAATATGTCAAAACCCTCCTCATATGGTAACAACTTCTCAGCTAAATAATCATCCAACTTAGGTTTTTCAAATCCATCATCCTCATAAAGCATAGTCTCGAAATCTAACTCCCATATTGATTTGATAGAAAGACGTTAGTTGCACATTGCCTTTTCGAAGAAGCTCCTCGTTTGGCATCATGTTTTTTATACTCTTCAAACAACTCATAAATTATGTTTCGTATAATCTCATTTCTTGCTCCTTCCCCATATAACTTTGCGAAGAAATAATTGATCAAGTTTGACTTATACTTAGGATCCAATACATTTGCCACACTCATAACATTATGTACAACATTCCAATACCTCTCAAATTTGATCAACATAGTTGATGCTATTGACTTGATAACATCATTGTCAGATACTTTCCAACTCAACAAAGATAGTTTCATCTCACAAATTAGAGGGAAGAAGATGTTTAACGTGAGATATTTTGTACCATAAATTTTTCAGTTACATGATAGAACAATTTCAACTTTTCACAAACATCTAATACCACATTCCATTCATCTTCACTAGGCAAGCAAACATAATGTTTCTCCTTTTTGCTCAAATGATTAAAAACTTCTCTATACTTCAAAGCAACACTTAACATCATATAAATGGAATTCCACCTTGTTTTGCAATCAAGAAGTAACTCATTTTGGCAATCAACACCTACTTGTTGAGAAGAAAAGTCTAAAATATTGTATTCTTTTAGGAGAACTTTTCCAAAACCAAACACTATTCCTAACATTCTTAATTGCACCCCCAATCACAGAAACTCCATCTTGCACAATAAGATTAATTATATTTGCATAACATCGCACATGAAATAATCTCCCCTTCAAAATTAGTGATGAAGTAATAACATACCTAAAATCTTTCCAACGATGGCATCATTTGTTGAACAACTGTCAAGTGTTATTGTTGAAAACTTGTTGTCATTGTTCCACTCTAAAAATCATCCCATCATAGCTTCTGATAATGCATCAACAGTGTGTGGAGATGACACATGTAGATCAACCTATTACATATTTGTTTTCTTCTTAATCCACTGACCCCAACCTTGTTCAAGAAAATGAATAAACTGATAATGATGCGTTCAATGGTACTTTTGTTGATATTAAGTTTAATCAAGAAGAAGAGAATATTCTGGATAATATGCTACTAACTGGGAAACAATTTAAAATTCTAAACAGAAAGCTCATTTCATCATTACAACTTCAGGCTGATGCAGGGGGCAAAAATTTTGTATATGGAATCGAAGTTGATGTGTTACTAAAGGGCCATAAGCATCGACTTCAACACTCAATTGATTTGGTTGATCAAAACAATGAGAAAAGAGTGAAGGCACATTCTGATTTGTTTACTTATGAATTGAAAGTTTTAAAGGATGTTGCCATGGAAAGGTATGTTCTGTTCATTCAAGATGTGAAGAAAGTGAGTGAAGATGTTAATCTTAAAATTGAAGAACTTCATGAAGACATGGGAAAGGAAGTTGCAAAATTAAACCATAATTATTCATCTCTTCACTAAAAGGTTGATATAATTGCTGATATTTGAACAAAGTTTTTTACTTTGTATCAAGATCTTGTTATGAAGGTTGATAAGATGGCTAATGCAGAAGTTTAGAGTTTTGCAAACATTGATAAGTTGTTGGTTAAATTAAAGGGCTTGGTTTTGAAGTCCAGTTTTGTTTCTTCTTCCTTGATTACTCCAGCACCACTTGCGAAGCTACTCACTATCATGCAAACGGATGCCCTACCTGTTTCCATAGGGTGCAAGGGGGAGAAAAGGGAGTTGTTGGCACTGGTTCAAGAGTTAGGGGAAGCGAATTGAATTAAAAGAGATGATGATGCGATGGTTGTTGGGGAGGGTCTTGTCTACTTAAATTCCAGCTTCTCTTTCTAAAGTGTCTAAAGTTGTATCGTCTACTAGAACAACATCAAAACCAAATTCGAAAGGGGTAGTTATTGGGACGGATGAGGAAGGTTCAAGTTCATCGAGACTACCTCCTACTTCCGAAGAAATGTTGAATAAAGGAAAGGGTATTTCTACAGAGTTATCCAAAGAAGAAAATAAAGTAGATATGGAACGAGAAATCGAAAAGAAACGTCAAATTCAGAGTATTCTACGAAACATTATACTTACGAGTATATCAAAGCCTTAGTTTTTACAAGGGAGATAAGTGACTTTGAGAAGGTTCCAAAGAAAAGCTATGATATAGAGAACACCAACTTTAATCAGTTAGATTTTCCTATCAATCAAATGATGTTTATGGATGAGCAATTCAAGATTGCTGATAAGTTCAAGGATAAACTTTAGTACAAATAGATGAAGTTTCGATTTCATGTTATTCTTGGAAAAAGGGAAGAGGAAATATGGTCCATAGTCAAGATAGTTCGGGTTCTCAGTATATCCAAAGACATCTTGTTCGAGGGTATGTTGTAGAATTATCGATATCACGTAGTCCGAGCTAAAAATGTTAATTTCAATTTCTCAGTTGCAAACTTTCCCTTGATGAATCTTCATGATTTACTGGTTTGTGGTGAACATCTTGAAGTCAGATGATGTGTTGAAGCTGCCACTCACCAATAAGGAAGATTTTTTTGCAGGGGTTTGCACATATATAGGCTTTCATCGATGGATATTATGATGATTTAGCTCTAACTAATGTTGAGTTAGCTACAACATTAGGAAATTAGGTTTCAGTTCCCAAATGATTGTCAAAGAATCAAGTCAATTTGAAAGATTATGAAGATGGGAAGAATTTCCTTAAACCACTTGTAATTGTGTTTGTTGGTAAGAATAAGAAGGGCAACAACACAAAATTCTTATTCCATGTGTGTGATGTTGTCAGATACACTTATGCTCATTACACAAATCTGTTAGTTCGAATGAATAGTTGTGCCAAGAATAAAGACAGAGAAAAAATTGAATTTTGAAGGGTTGTCAACTGGTACGGTGAAGTTCGAAGGTTTTTACATCATGCTGCTTAGAGTTTAACAACTTAGATTCCCCATTTCTCACAAATGGGGAGAATGTTATGGTTCGAAGGTTATTGTGAGATGTCGAATATGTCCTTGTTGTCGATAATGTCCAAGTCTGTTTATAATTTTATTATTAGGACGCTTTAGTTTCGAAGCTTGTAGTGTCAAATGTCCTTATTTTTTGTGCTCTCATTATCCCTATAAATATGGGAGGGATACACTTAAATGGAAGAACTTTTGGACTATCAATTGTAATCTTTTTGTCATTTCTCTTGTATTCTCTAATCAAGCAATATTATGAGCCAACCAAATATTATTTAGATCGTGTGTTCTAAATATGTTCTATATCTGATTTTGTTTCTTTACTTGATTCAATCATCACTACAGTAAGCCGTAGGCACGGAGGCTCGAGAAGTGTGGTTGGTTTTAGGATGCATGCCAATAAACCCTAGGTATTCCAGTTTGATTACTGATTGGGCTGGTTTCATGTTGATATTCCAGTATGATGAATGATTAGACC